ATGAGTTATCATTACTTCAATTTTTTTTATTTATATTTAAACAAATAAATTTATTATAACATAATCAAAAGAAAATTATGTTCCAAGAATCAAATTACATAAAAATATTAAATTATTTTATTGCATACTAATATTTTTCATTTTTGCATAAATGATCAATCAAAATCAACCAAATCAACCTACTATTCAAAAGGCCAAAGATTACGACATTACTTTCATAACTGTGATTTCTAATTAAAATAGATTTCAACATTTTCATGATTTGTTTTTTCTCCTTTAACCTACACCCAGACAACTCAAACCAATCTATTCAGATCATCTCCAACCCATTGCATGGTTATACAAAAAATGGGGGGAGGGGCTCCAACCCATATTTTTGGTATTTTTTGGTGTATTGTGTAATTTTAATTTTTTAGTAGATGATATATAATTTTATATTTTAAAAAGTTGTATGTGATTTTTTTTTTTGAAAAATAATGTATAATTTTATTTTTTAAAAGTGATATAATTTTAGTTTTTGGAAAGTAATATATAATTTTATTTTTTAAATTGATATATAATTTTATTGTTTGAAAAGTGATATAATTTTTATTTATTTAAAAAATAATGTTTAATTTTATTTGTAATAGTTATTAATTATAAATGTTAATTTTTATATATGTAATTTTTAAATAAAATATAAGTTATATGTGTATGGATCTAATGTAAAAATAAACTAAAGTTGGGGTGTAATTTATAAATATGAAAAGTTATATAAAATAATATAAAAGAGGAATATATAGAGAATATACTTTTTAGAGTAAAAATTAAAGTTTATGGTTGGAGTAAAATTACTGTAGATCAACTGCATTTTTACTGTAGCAACTGCAAAAATGGAGTAGAGGGTTGGAAATGGCCTCATTCTTCATATTTTATAAAAAAATATTGTTGAATATGTCACTTTAACTTGTTTTAAAGATATTCTTGACATTGATACTATAAAACAGTTCACTCAAAAACTTTTTCCAACGGAATGCAACTAGAGTCCAGATGATCCCCTAAAAATTAATAAAAATTATGAACATATTTTGGTCGATTCAAATTCTATTGAACTAATTCATACCAAAGATTCAAAAAATCTGGATCGTATTGCATAGTCAATAGTCAATATGTGTCATAAAAAAGGTTTGTTCACAATGTAAGTGGGCCTCTCCGTTTTCAACAAAAAAACATTTTCAGTCAATTTTTCACCGAAAGAGTATTCATATCATGTTTATAGAATGACTTGGTACAAAGCTTTTATTACCAACCGTTGATCACTCATGGTTTATGATATTTCATTCAAATTGTCTCAAAGATTTTTCAATTTGGTTTTATTATTGGTGGATATTTTATGATCAACAAAAAGAAATTTTACCTCATGAAGTATAAGTAATATTGCAATTATTCAACAAAAAGTCAAAAGTTGAAGAACTTCAAAAGTCAGTTTTAGTTTTGCTTTTTTTTTTTTTTTTTTTTTGTGTTTTCATTCAAGTCTTTGATGATTCAAATTCATTGTCGTTCGCTCAAGAATTAAAAATCAAATGGTGGAATCAATTCCAAACTCAACACTGTAATCAGGAAGCTTTGCTCATCATTTTCAACTTTAGAAGAAATTCATGAAGGTCGTCAAAGAAATTTTGAAAACTCCCTCTACAAATAATCAAAAAGAAGTCTTCAAAATTCTAACAATAAAAGCTCAAACTAGAAAGGCATCATCAACTCAACAAAGTAAGACAACAGTCTCCGAAGATCCAAAGACTCTTCAATCATAAGAAGACACTCAAAAGAATATACTTAAGTTTATGGAGATGCTGAGAATAAATCCTCAAATCATGGAATTCATCACTCAAAAGAAAAAAAATAATACGGACTCAATTGAAGAATCCAATTGTGATCCATTCGGAGGACAACTAGCTCAAAACCCGTACGATATATAATTCAAAATAGTATTATATATAATAAAATATATTATATAAAGTATATATGTACGATAAATTATTATAATATAGGCCATATCTGCCACTTAAAAATAAAATATATTAAATAAGGGTTCCACTTTCCACCTAAATAAAATATTATACATATATCTCTACCTACCACTGTATATTATAATATTAGTATTACTATACCCTTGGTCTATAAAAGGAAAAGTAATCTTTCAGGCATATCTTAGTTAGACCATGTTCATTGTTGCTCTCTTACAAGAAGATTAAAGTTCAAATTTGTTAATCCTCATTTCAAGAAGTTCAATAAATATTTTACATTCAAGTAAGTTTGTTGTTCATATCTTGTATATTCATTTGAATTTTTCTTATCTTTTTGGGTTGGCACCTACGCCTAGCTCATTCATCTACTTCTCCATCTTCTCTCTAATTTTTGGATCAGCTACGCCGCCTAGTACTATTAATTAACTTATAGGCCACTATTTAACCTTATTCCTTAATTTTTAGGCCACCGTTTAGTCTTATTCTTTAACTTTTAGGCTACCGTCTAGTCTTATTCACTAACATCTGGATCGGCTCCGCTGCCTAGTTTCAATATCTTTTACACTAATTTTTGGAACGGATTCACCGCCTAGACTAAGCATTTATATTATTTTAAATTTTTTATTAAATTATCATTATTATCATATAATATTAATAATCTATTCATAATATTATTATTAATAATCTATAATTCACATGTTTTGGTCTACTGGTCTTCTAACACATAGTGTTGCAACCAAACACAAAAGACGTAAAAATACAAATGGATACGAAATATAGAGAATCATACAAAAAGATTAAAGAAGTATTGGTTAAATTTGAAGATGTTATAGTGAATCTCTAATTGTCAATCTAAAAAAATATAAAAATGAAAGCTCGTGAAATGTACGAGAAAATTGGTGAAGAAATAAAGATTTACAGGGCATTTATATTATATAATGCTTTAAAGCGCCAATGTGATTGCCAATGATGCATTGGCTCCGTTCACGCAACATTTTTTGATAAAATAATTTTTAATGTGTGGTATAAGAAATTGTGTAAAAAATATAAGTATTATTTTAGGTTGAATATTTAACTTTTTGACTTTTTTTAATAACTTTTTGACTTTATATATATTTTGAATTTTGTATAAAATATTATACTTATTATTATTATTTTTTAGAAATCGCAATTACAAAATAGTGTTGGAAGAACAAAGTGATTGTGTACACAAGCATTTATTACTTTAAGTCAAGAAGATAAAATTAGCATAACTAAGCATTTGTAAATGATTTTATGCATTGACATAACTAGCCTCCAAACTGGAGGACAAAATATAGGTTCATTTTTATAGGTTGGATATCTTTTTTTTTTTAGTTCTATCACCGGGATAAATAAAAAAAAAACGAAGAAAAATAATACGCTTGAAACTAAAATCTTTTATATAACTATATAAATTTTATATATTTTTATTAAACAATATTAATTATTGAAGAATAAATCAATAAAATTATATAATATTTATTATTTCTTACACAAAACAAAAATAGGAATTAAGAAATAAAGGAGGGGAAAATTAGTAAAAATATATAATTTTACTACTTTTTCAACTAAACAAAATATATATTTTTGGGGTTGGAGCGGGTGACCCCAAACCCCTATAGTTCCGTTCCCAATTTTATGGGATAGTTATTTTATTTTTACACTTAATTTGCTAATTTAAGATGTTGTAATTTGTTTTTTTTTTAACATTTTTGATCTAAAAAGTATTTTGTTTTCATTTGATTATATATATATATATATATATGTATAAATAAGAGTTGATTTTGTTTATTAATTCTTATAATACTTTATTTACGGTTATTTAAGATTAATGAAAATATTTTTTATTGTTAATTTGTGCTTTTTAAGTATAATTTTGATTTGTTTAAATAAGAGATTTTATATAAATAAAAATATAATTGTATAATTATCTGTTATATTTTTTAGCTGAGTATTGTTTTTTATCAAAAAATTGATTCTCATATTTTGTATAAATTTTATTTTTCAACTTTAGGTTTATTTCTCTACCATTTTTTTTTTCCATACGAATAAATAGATTTAGAAAGAACAAACTATGCATTGCTAATAGAAAAATAAAAAAGAACTAAATCATGAGAAGAAAAAAATGAATAGAAGAGGTTTTCACTTGAATAGAAATTAGTAAAAAAAATATAAATTATCGTTAGTAAATTTTTATTTAAATAATAATAGTAAAAAATAAAAAATAATAGTAAATATATTATGCAACATTCTTAATTTTTATTTTTCTTTCTCATGATAAACAAAGGAAATAGTAATGTTCTTCTTTTCTTTCTAACCTTATTTTAATATACAAAATAAATACACTAAAATAAATCAAAGGTAAAAAATTAATTTTAGTCTCAAAATAATCATAATTTATCAATTTTGGTCTCAATATAAAAAAATTTTATCAATTTTAATCTCATTATAAACAATTTCAATCAATTTTGTTTCTACAGTTACAAGATTAATTGAAATTGCTGACGTAGACATAACGGAGGTGACGTAATAACTAACCTGGAAACTAGACGGTCATGTATAATTATACACGGTAATGTTCTTAAATGACCATATATAATTCTACAAATTGTGTACCTTTACGATTTGGTCTAATATATATATATATATATTTATGTAATTGGATGTTTATTATATATAATAAAAAAATAAATTTTTAGACCAAATAAAAAATGTACGTAAAATTATACACTAAAATATACATGACCGTTTAATAACATGGTCGTGTATAATTATATATGACCAGTATAGTTTTTTGGTCAACTGTTACGTCACCTATATTACATCAGGTCAGCAATTTTCCTTAATTTTTTAACGATAGAATTGATTGATATTATTTATAATAGAACCATAGAACCAAAATTTATTTTGATTATATTGAAACCAAAATTAATTATTCTATTTTAGTGACGAGCACAATACAATAAGGGAAGAAGGGACAAAGCAACAGAAGAGCAGAGAGGGCGCAGATCAGACGTCAACCGACCCTTTGGAGTAACAACAAAGTTGTCTCTTGTCTCCTCTCTCCGCCTCCTGCCCTATTCCACTTTCTTCTGCTAGATCTACCCTCTTCACCGGACCGAAATGTCGGCGGCCTTCAGCACGCTCGAGGATTCACCCATGTTCCAGAAACAGGCATTTCTCCTTTTCATTTCATTCGTTCCATGTTCAATGTGCACCTGTTAGATTGATTGATTGCACTGCTCTGTATATCTATTCAATTATGTTTATGTATGCTGTATTTCGAGCCAATTTTTAGAGATTGGTGGTTTATGTATGCAGGTGCGATCTCTGGAGCAGACGGCGGATGACCTAAGAGATCGATGCCAGAAGCTGTGCAAGAGTTGTAAGAAATACACGTGAGTGCAATTACTGCCTTTTATCTCGATTTTTAAGGTGGATTGCTCCTGATTGTGAAGTGGTGCTGAATCCGGGTAGATGATGTACTTCACTGAACAGAGGGGATTTGACTTCTTTTGAACAATTCTTCATCTGACTGATTTGTTCTTGTTGGCATTGAAAATCAGCTAATAACATAAAAACTTTTGCCTCCAGGAATTTTGTGAAATTGTCAGATAGATATTGTATATTTGACACTGTTATTTCCAATTAGGGAAGTGCTTGGGGAAGCATGCAATGGTGACAAGGTGTTTGTGGCTTCATTAGAGGCCTTTGGTGGTGGCCTTGATGATCTTCTTGGCGTCTCGATTGGAGGTATGACAACTGATATTGCTAGGAGTGGGGCATTTGGTGTTTTGCCATCGCTTCGTTAGAATTTTGTTTATTCTTATATCAGGAGAACCTAAAGCCTTTTTGTGTTTTCATATGTAATTGAGAATGGAAATTTTTTCTGGATGTTATCCTAATCTTTGTCAGTTTCGATGTCTATCCTAGAATTGACAGAAAGGCAGGATGATTTTGGGGGTTTTCTGGTCTTATTTGTAAAACTCTTATCCTTGCAAGTTGGAAGAATAGTTTCATTATCACCTCTCTTCGCTTCATGGCAGGTCCTGTGCTATCTAAATTTATAAATGTATTGAACGAGCTAGTCACATACAAGGAATTTCTCCGTTCTCAGGTGAGTATGTTTATTCAAATGCATTCAATCATTTATATTAAATCTATTCACTATATTTCTACATATAAAATATGTACTCAATGAATAAAAGCAGTATAGGACCAAACCATCTTGTTGTTTCATGGTTTCATTCATTTATTAGATTGGAAATATGGGGCGCTGAGCTTTCTGCAATACCGCATTATACTTTTTATTAATGTAAAATTCTATTCTTGTGCTGCCTTACATTTTTCGTGTATAGAATCAGCGGAGGCCTCTTGTTCTCTGATACACGACAATTATCTTAAACTGCAGGTTGAACACGTTCTTGTGGATCGTTTGTCTCAGTTTTTGTCTGTTGATTTGCAAGAAGCAAAGGTAGGCCACCATTAGTCATATCAATTATACGCTGCGGAATAACGGTGGTCTATGGATTGATATATTTTCTGAGTCAAAAGCGCTGAATCCCTTTTGTAGAATATTTCTTATGTCTTTCTTTTGTTCATTCTTGCTGAAAGTTTTAATTCAATCTCCTATTCAAGTATTTCTCTAGATGATTAATGTGAAATTAGGCTCTAGATTTTCCTCTCTGTGCCCTTTGGTTTTGTTTTCTCTTTCTTGTTGATATTATTGGTCAGTCCATTTTGGCTTTGCTCCTTTTTAAAAGTTATAGTTATATTTCCTCTACTATCTAGTCATGGGGTAAATCCACCAAGAAAAGACATCATGATATTGAGTGGAAACTTAGGGATGTGGACAAATATCTGTGGAACATTGCTGTAATTTTTAAAACCAATTGGGGATAGGATTGTATCATCGTCCTCCGCTTGATATTTTTCTCTGAAATACTGAACAATGATACTCGCCCTTCTTTACATGTTATATACTTATATTTCTCGTTGCATTAAACTGGTGCCCTGGGAGTACCGTGTAGCATTATTTTGTTCTATTGAAACATTTTAGGGAAAGTATTTAATATGATCAAGCATTTGTTTGAAGGTACTTGTGATCACGGTAAATTGTTGAAGTCTAATGTACTTTTCACTTTTAAAGTTGAAAAAGATTACTTGGGCAATTTATATAATAGTACAATAAAACAGAAATTGACTTAAAATTGAGGAAACTGACTGTAGCTTTCACACTCCGGTTAAAGCCTTGTGAAGGGCATATGATAAAAAAATCAGATCATATGCTTAGATAATGATTTTTGTAACTTGAGGAGAAGATGGCTGTTTTAAGGAGTTAACATTTCCTTTTCCAGCTAATATTGTTTCTCTAATTTTTTACGCACTATATTGTCTCCTTTTTCTGTACATAATTTCAAGAATGTTGGGTTTTAACATTTCTCTCTGCCTTTAATACAGAGATTTAGTGAATTTATTGATTTTAGATGATGTTTATCAAATCAACTGCAGGAATCCCGTCGGCGTTTTGACAAGGCCATATATGCATATGATCAGGTAAGGAAAATCTTTCGATAGAATTATTCTATTGCTACTTAAGAAATTGCATAGAAATTCTTTTGCTCGCCTTTTTTATTTTTAAAACAATGCATATAAAAAATATATATCTAAAAAAAAGAACAAAAGAAAAGGAAAAGAAGACAAAAGAAAGAAAGATAACTATTAATTTTAGCCCATATGGACTAGAGAGGGCCAACTTGCAACTAAATTAATTCATATTCTCGCTCTTATTTGCCACAGTGATATTTTGGGAAAATGAACTCATTACTTTCTTAATTTATTGGTGGACTTTAAATCCATGCACGACTATTTTTATCCTTTATAGCTACCCATTTGGATTTCTCATGGACCTTGGAGCCACTAACCATGGACTATGAGCTAATGGCTGGTGGGTTTCACTAATGAGCTTAAAGGAACTCTACTTGAAAATCTTGCTGTTGAACTAAGAAACGAATTAGAAACCTACATCTAGGATTTGGAATTCAAGTTCTGCACCCTATAGGTTGATGGTACTCCAAGCATTTCAACCTATACCCATTAATGCTACCTTTGTGCTCGATTAACCTTGTTTCATGGAAGAGTCTTATTCTGCAATACTATCAATTTTGTATATTGTTTCAACCAAAAAGTGTACCTTGTGATTTTGTTTCCATTTGACATGTCCTTTTGAGTTATTCTACTTCAAAAGTTATCAAGTTGGGGGAACTGACAGTTTATATGCACTAGTCAAAACATGCTGTTAGCTTCCCAGCAAGTTCTTCCTTGATCTAAAAAATGCCAAAACATTTTCGTTATATTTGTTTATATATTTTAAGCCTTAATACACAGGTTTATGTGTCAGGCACGAGAAAAGTTTGCTTCTCTAAAGAAGACAACACGGGAGGACATTGTTGCTGAATTAGAAGAAGTATAGTTTGTACCTCCTTATCTATTGCCTTATCATTTTATTTCTGGTTAAGCAGATGTAATATATTGTTCCGGTTGAGTAACTATGCATTGATAAATGCTACAAGACTGCTATTATCTTTATCTTTGTCTTCACAATGTCTACCTAAATGCCCATCATTTCATCTTAATTTTATAATAATATTAAGAATTTGACGTAGTTGGGCCTTTGTTCACTGTCAGCTGGACTGTGTTACTTTTATTGTTTTATGTGTTCTTTGCATTGCTATTTACATTTTTGGGATGTGCTTATCACAAAGTGTCTATCAAGAGGTTGCCTAATGGATTCCTGTTAAATATGTACTTTACTGGACTGAGCATGTTTCTTAAAGAGAAATGTTCTCTTTGAATGGAGTTTTATATATATATATATATATATATATATATATAATATTTTATGACATGTTTACAATATGCTTAGTGCAACAAAATTCGCCATATAATTGAGGAGCTATAGCATCTAACTAAATTGTATACCTTCTGGACTTCAACCTCAAGTTTCAGATTGTAACATTTTTCATGAAGTTTTCTGGGTATCATACAGAAAGAATGAAATGGATCGTGCATCTGGCTTTTTGGGAAGGCTTGTTTCATGTTCAATTCGATTTTAGTTATCTATGTTTTGGATGGCTGTAAGTTCAAAGGAATTATTGCTTTTAAGCTTCAAAACTAGCTATTTGGTAAAAACAAATCTATTTTCATTGAGTTATAAAGATGTTGGCACTCAAAATGTTAAAAATGGAGTATGGAGAGAAAATGTATTGTTTCTCACGCAGGCATTGATATGTAGTGTCATCACAAGGAAAACAAAACATCCTAAACTTCCATGCAGTGAATTATTGTCTTAAACATGATTATAAAATGTTCTTGCACATTCTTTAGTGTTTTCATCCTTTGCTTTCTCAACAGTTTTTCATTCTAGAAGTTATGGTTGGTGTCTTTCATCATGTTTTTCTCAAGCTATTAACTGGATGCAGCCATCAGTCAACTGTATATTTGCTCTGTTTTAAAAATTAAAAATTCTCTCTCTAACCTATTTCTTAATGAAATGTTGAATAAACTTTTGTTACAGTTTATTACTTGAAATTTGTATATTTTGGAAACTTATCTTGCCACACCGTGCAGGATTTACATAATTCAAAGTCTGCATTTGAGAAAAGCCGCTTCAATTTGGTATAGTATGCCCAGATTATCTTAATTGTATAATCATGTAATGAGTTTATTCATTCATCTTTAATTTTAACTACGTACTTTGATTTTAAGAATTTCAGGTAAATGCTCTCATGAATATTGAATCAAAAAAGAAATTCGAGTTCATGGAATCTTTTAGTGCACTTATGGATGCCAACTTGCGTTATTTTAAACTGGTGAGCTTTGAACTTACGAGTTGGCCATCACTTTTGCTTCCTCTTCATCGCTGAGCCCATATATATTTCAGGGGTATGAGCTATTAAAGCAAATGGAGCCTTTTATTCATCAGGTATATTGTTAAAACCTCGTGCAATTGTATTCTGAGTGAAGATGAAATATTGATTAATTTTGGCTAGAATTGAATATTAAGTTTCAATTATATATGTTGAATTAATTTGTTGAAGAGCATGACTACAATTGGTGGTGATGGATGAATTTTCATTAATAAAATTCAAGCAAGCATTTCATTTCCATAGGGGAGACTAGGAGAGGCAGCATGAAATATTTGGTCTCGTAAGGATTAATTTTAACGTTAGTTCAACTACACTTCTAATTTTATCCACTATTTACAAAAGTTTTTAGTTTGCTGTTGCACTGTCGCAATTTTAGTCTATTGCCATTAAATTTGATTGAAATTTAATCAGACAGAAATAGATATTTGATGTTATGCAGGTTTATGAATTTCACCATTGGATTGAAATTGTTACAATATGGCCTCATTCTGATTTTGTTGTTGTTTATATATATATATATATATATATATATATGTATGCCTGTATGATTGGAATTACAGTTCAGTCGCCCTAGAACCTCATGAAGCCTTAGTTAATCAAAACTGGTTACAATGAATTGCTTATGTAGATTCAAATAATACAATTCTCACTTGTATATTATTTCTGAACCATGCAGGTTTAAATAGAAAAGATACAATAAATTAGTTACCTAAATTACAGGAAATTGACTAGCTATAGAATAGAAATAAAAACTAATTAAAACATAATTTAATTAGCAATAAAATAGGAATTTAACCTATTATTATTTCTAAATAGTTTGCAAATTATGGAAGGCTTTGGCATTCACCTCAATCGCTTATCTTCTTACATACATGTATGAGAGTGTTGGTTTTCTCCTAAAGTTCTGAAGTATAGTAAGGGTGTGTTCGTCTCGCTGATTTGTGATAATTTTTACTTTATATTTACTGTAGAAAGAAGTTTTCTGCCAAACCTAATCTAAACTCTAGTCTAAATGATAGTGACAGTCTACTGCTTTGTCTAGTTACTAGCGTGTACTGAGAACCTGCAGGGTGATGACAGGTGAGGTAAGATGGGTGGGGGAGGTCGGCTGGTGGTGTACTTTTTGAAAAATAAAATAAAAAAAAAAATTATATTTTTAGTTATTACACGTAATATCTTATAATATTTAAATTTCAATTAATTCACACAATCACATCAATACATCAATTTTTCAAATAAAATAATATTTTTATTAATCTAATCATTACAAAATTCAAACTTCCAAACAAGCACAACTTGAAAATTCTTACTTCAAAATCTTTATAAATCCAAATTCAAAATCCAATCCTCCAAACAAACACACCCTAATAGTTAACCTATAGTTATATTCTAACATCCACAAAGAAGGAATATGTCAATAAGCACACCTCAATTGGTTTTATAGCACTTGCTAATAGGCACATGGTCCTCCAATATTTTAATTATGACATACATTTGGCTTCACCTGACTTTGTACTCTACATTAGAAGTCATTGTGTGATTGATGTTCCTGTCATGGCGATCACTCTTAGCATTCAAGAGATGCCTTCTTTGGTGATGAGTAAGATAGAGTCGTGTAATTTGTGCATTTCCTTGTTGAATTTACATTGTGATACTGTTAAGACATAATTGTGGAGAAAAGTTGGCTCCCTCACAATCTAGATCTAGTTGATATATTTGTTTACCTACGATTTCAGGTCTTGACATTTGCACAACAATCAAAGGAGCAGGCAAATATAGAACAAGATAAACTTGCAAAAAGGATCCAAGAATACAGGACGCAATCACAGCTGACACAGTTGCAGGCATCTAATAGATTGGAAGCATCATCAAATGCTATTGCCTTGAAGGGATATGGCATGAATGCTTATAAAACAATGGAGGACATTATGCTGGCCACTGCAAAAGGCGAGGTGGATTTTCGTTCATATGGTTCCTGTTCAGTTATTTTCTTATCTTTCATATTTTTGAGAAGTAGCAGTAGATTATTTATTATAAAGCATGGTGCATGATACTTACGATAGCTTAGAGGTAAGCAGGAACAAACTCGAGGTAGTAAGGGTATTTGCATTGATGTTAAGACTAAAGCCAGGCAACAAAAATCCTTTTATTGGATTGAAAAGATTTTCCTACTATTTGTAAATTAGTGCATGAATGAACAAGGTTTAACACCGAAGTGTTTAGCCTCATTTTATAAAAATTGGTTTAGCTTGACTTCGGTTTGTTGTACCTGAGCATGGCTTGTCTAGTTTCTGCCTTCTCTGTGTCTGACACATCATGAATAGTCATCTCGATACAAACACCAATAAATATTCTTTCATTGAATGAAAGCTTGTACTCGAAATATTTCAGAAATGATGGTTCTTGAATTATATGTTATCCTATTGTGGTGTTTGTAGATAAAACTGTGGCCTAATGTGTCATTGACAAATTAGTTTAATGAATTGGTGCTTGTAGATGGAACTATGTCCTAAACGGTCATTGCATAATGTCATAATGTGTAAGATATCAGAAAGTTTACTGTTTCTTGATTATGTTCTTCAAGGAAAGCAATTAAGTTTGTAATAATCAACATCCATCTTTAGGTCCAGACCATCAAACAGGGTTACCTTTTGAAAAGATCTACCAGCCTGAGAGCAGATTGGAAAAGGAGATTCTTTGTACTTGACAGTCATGGGACTTTATATTATTACAGAGATAAAGGTTCAAAACCGATGGTATGCCATTTAAATTTGTAATTTGTCACTCTGTTTAAATATTTGGAATATATGAGAGGCTAATTTCATCTAGTTTACCAGGGCTCAACATTTCAGTCTTCTCACTCAGTGGAGCATAATCATCGTGTATTTGGTAGATTTCGGTCAAGGCTACATCGTGAAGCATCACTTGGGGGTGAAGATAATTTGGGCTGTAGCACTGTTGATCTACGCACGTCAACAATTAAGATTGATGCTGAGGATACTGATTTGCGACTATGCTTCAGAATAATTTCACCATTAAAAACTTATACATTGCAGGTAATGCGATTTTTTTCCTACAAAATGCTTAATCAGTTAATTGTAATTATTTATTTCATGTTTCACAAAGTTCTCTTATAGTTCAATTAATGTTGTCATGCATTTTTTCTAGTGCTGTACAATTTCTTTTTGATATGTTGTCTTCTTATTGTTAAACGTTTTATTTGTGTGTGTATATATATCTTTTGGTTGAATATGTGTTTTAAATGCTTACATCTAAGTTGTGGAAAGCGTGGTTTAATATCTTTAAAAAATAGTACTGTAGTCTACCTGTGACCGCCACTCTGATAGCCAGTCTCGTTTTACTTATATTTTTGGCTAATTGTTCCCTGAGTTTTCTCTTCTTTGCTGTACTCTGGTGCAAGACTTGACTGTGTTCTTGATTCTTTCAAAAGTGATAGAATTCTTGAATTATCACTGCACCTTAAATTTTAAGCCACTTAAGTCATGTATTGTGTTTTTTACATTTAGCTTATATTATAGTTGCTCCAACATATCTTCACGTGTAGGATGTCTTAAAATGGGTGACGATAGAGATGCAAACACTAAACCACCCTATTGTAATACCATAAGTCCATTATTTCATGATACTAGGGAGGGGAGGTTTGTGCTAAATCTCAATTGCCACCTTTTTATAAAGAGGCGTGTTCTATATACATGCAAATATATAAAAAAAAAAAATACGCCATTGTGTGTATGAAGAGACATGTTGCAACAACTATACATTAAATAATTATGAAAGTAATGCCTTTCTCTTGAAAGTTTTAAACTCTTAGTTGAAGTGGTTATGCTATAATTGTAACAAAAACAAAAGGATTAGTGCAGTGAAATGGATTTGTAATTTTGTATATGTTCAACTCCTCAGATAGTTGGTGATTGCCATGTAGTTAGTGTGAATTTCCAAGTAAATGGTTCTTGTGCTTAGATTATATGTCAAATCTCAAGCATATTTACATTGCATACTTGGCTTATTCCAAAAGCAGTTATACAATTGAGAGTGCTCAGCTTTCTCATCTGCAATCGACCAGCATAAGGTAAAAGACTAGTAGCTAATTTTGTTAAAAGTCATGTTCAGCATAAGGCTGTATTTGTAGCCGCTATGTACTTTGTTTCTAGTTTATATGTATTTATTTCTAGCTTGTGCTTCAATTTTAATATTACTTCATGTATTAAGATTTTGCTTTTTCTAAAGAGCAAACACAACAAAAATTCCAGAGTCTGGAAGTGCTAAATTTATCAACTATTCTGTATCGGTTTGGATAGGCTGAAACTGAAGCTGATAGAATTGACTGGATGAACAAAATTACAGGAGTTATTACATCCCTCTTGAATTCCCATCTGCACCAGGTGATTTATCCTTCCCGTGACTATTTGAACCAATCGTTTTGAGAACTGAGATCAGTCCAATCCTTATAACAATGGGATTGTATATACTTTTGGCAGTTAGACTTTGGCAAAAGTGATTCTGATAGAAATTATGATTCTCATGGGGCATCTTTAAGACGACCGCTCGATTACAATGAAAGTTCAACGGATGATATCCGAGTCAGACCTGAATCTGTTTCCAAGATTTTGAGAGAAGTTCCTGGGAATGACCAATGTGCTGAATGCTGTGCCCCTGATCCTGATTGGGCATCTCTGAATCTTGGCGTCTTAATGTGCATTGAGTGCTCAGGCATTCACCGTAATCTTGGTGTTCACATATCCAAGGTATATTCCGTTGGAACATACTACCCTTACAAGTTTCAACTTTCAGTTAACCTGGAAGTCCAGCAAAGCTAGCTATTCTTCAAATCAGTTTAATGTTAGAATACCAACAATTTTTAGACATCCTTTTTTTTTCTCTCTTTCTTCCGCTTACTAATAATCTTTTTTTCTTTTTCTGGAATTAGATAAAGTAATATAACTTGCACCTAAATTACAAAATCGTTATATCTTCGATTTTGTTAAAAAGATGCTGGTTTTAGCTGATGTGGTCTCAATAATTATCACACTGAACTCTTACGTGAATGAGTTTTTGAAGATGCGCAGGTTCTTGGAATTATGCTGACCTTGAGTTAACTTTTCCTGTCCCACTAAATTACAGGTCAGGTCACTCAACTTGGATGTGAGAGTTTGGGAGCCTGTGGTGTTAGACTTGTTTCGAGCTCTGGGCAATTCCTACTGCAATTCTGTCTGGGAAGAGTTGCTTCTACTAAATAAAGACTCGTAAGCTCCTTGAAATTTTACCTAGCCAATGAGAATTACTAAATACTAATATAGAATATTTGAAATCTCTGATTTAGAACCAGGTATAAAATCAAACTAGTCCTCTGCTGCTCTGCAATACCAATGCATGAACCTATAGCAATGATGGATAGGCTTTGGTACAACTTTTTCTGTTTTCTAGTTTTATCACTGAAATTAGAGCCTGTGTATAAACCACCAAATAGAGACAACCAATCAAGATATTCTTGGACAATGCTTTGTCTGTGTTTGTTTGTGGATTTGATTTTTAGGTTTGAATATTTTAATAGTAAAAATTTGAATTCGAATGGTTGTTTGATGTGATCTAATAGATATTGATGTAATGTTTTGAATATAAAATTAATTTTCAGTATAATATAGAAAATAAAAATAATTATTTGATTTGATATTTTTTGAAAAAAAAAAATGAATAGTAAACATCTTGTGAAAAATATACAAAAGAACACAGCCTGTATTTTAGTTTTATTTAACATTAGATTTATGTTCCACAGCGCTATGTTGTTACCATGGAAACTGTATTTAGCCATGTCATATCCATTCGTTTAAGTTACATTGCTAAAGATTGCCATTTGATAAATAATAAAATAAAATACAACATTATTTGGATAATATATATTTGGAACTGGGGGTACAGAATGCAGAACAAGTTGATGCTATACCATTGCGTGTTATGTATTTTGCTTTCATTGTCCAAATGTCATAGACTCATACTGCCATCGTCTTTCTTAATTTGTGAGGTTGCTGTTATTTTCCTTGCTACCAAAAATGGTAAAGTTTTGGATAGTTGGAAATTTAGTCAAGTATAGGCATCTGCTGAAGTGTTGTGATAGGATTTCTGTGTGGTTCTCTACATATCTTTTAGGTGAATTTTTTATTTTTAAGCTATTGCTCATTTATTTAATACTCTTTTTAAGGTAATATTGTCTCTATATTTGAATAATATCATCCAGAAAAATTGAGTTTGATGGCTCATCCATTGCCAAACCGAGCCCTAAGGATGGAATTCATGAAAAAGAAAAGTTCATTCAAGCAAAGGTATACTTTCTGAAGAAATTTTCCTTGTATTAACTTTTGTAATTTAGCTGTTTTCTATGGAAAAGATGGTCATGAAGTGTTAACGACCTGTGTTTCTGATCTGTTCTATGAAGCGTTAACTATTTTTCTATGATGATTGGCTGCAAGTATTTTTCTATAATTTCAATTATTATTTTCTATTGATTTGAACCTCTAATATGATATTTGTAATATCAAATGAAAATGTGATCCTGTTAACAAGACCCAACATTTGATATCCTTTCTTGTTTTTCTTTGTAATCCTTTAATTTTAATAGGTTTTGTTTTATACATTAATTGCTAGTCATAATTTGGATATTGAAACTTACAAGTTTTAATCCAGTATGCCAGAAAACTGCTTGTAAATAAAGAAGCCACAGCACTCCGGGATGAATCCATTTCTACCATCTGGAAGGCAGTTAGATCTAACAATCTGCAGGAAGTATATCGAATCGTCGTAACATCAGATGCGAACCTAGTCAACTCAACCTATGATGGAATAAGCAATTGTAGTCTGTGTGATATTGAAAGGGAATCTCAACAAAATGTTAATGACGACCAAGAGGAAAAGCTTGATCAGACAAGCTGTGAGACAGGCAGATCTTCCTGCGATCCAGGAAAATGTTTGCGGGGCTGTTCCTTATTACATTTGGCTTGCCAAAAAGGAGATATGGTGATGCTGGAGCTGTTGTTGCAATTGGGTGCTGATATAAACAAACGCGACTTTCATGGCAGAACTCCTCTTCAACATTGCATCTTGAAAGAAAACAATGAGATAGCCAAGTTTTTGCTTAGAAGGTAAAAATTCACTGCCGAGCATCATTACCGTTAGTTAACAAATCCCTAAACAATAAATTTACATATTGGTAACTTGTCTAATTAGGCATGTGATCACAGTAACACTTATTTACCATATTCATTGGTGACATGTATTTATTTGCTAGCATCTCCTACAGTCGACAAATGTGCTAAATCTGTTTTGAACTTTCAAAAAAAAAAAATAAATCGGGCTGCTCAATTATTTTTTTTCCTGTTCTTATGTACAGAGGTGCATGGGCTTCGATAAGGGATGCTGGGGGACTTACTGCTTTAGAAAGGGCCATGGAGATGGGCGCAATTACTGATGAGGAGCTATTCATATTGCTTTCAGAGAGCTGATCTGATTGAATGGAATGCAAATTTCATTAATGTGAGTTTCTTTCTCCACCCATCCCCTTATTTTCTTGCACTGCTCAATCCCAATTCATATTGCTTTCAATACATATATGCTTTGTACTCATTCTGTTGGTGATTATTTATTTTAAAAATTATTTTTAGAGAGGTTTACAGAAAGCATGAAACGTTATCTGATCACAATTGCTTGTTACTTCTGGGATTTGGGAATCATAAAGCATACATATATTTCTAATGGAGCTTGAGTCGAAATTATGTTATATCTATATTTCATTTTGGTATAGAAATGGGGTGCGAGTACGTAATTATTTGATCAATTTGGATTTTGTTTCAAGTTACTTCTTCTGTCCGCAGTGATTATGTTAGTTTTTTTTAGTTGTTCGTCAAATTTATCCATTATATATTTATAATTTTATTATTTATATTTTAATAAATAATAATTAATTTGTTATTATTTTTTCTATTTATCACTTACATTTTTATCAATTCTTTAATGATTTTTTTATAATATTTATACTTTATGTTTTATCAACTTTCCTTTTATATTAAAACAGAATACAATATTTAGTATTTATGTTCATTTCTTACATAGTTTAACAAGGTTTTTATATTTATGGCTAAATTATACCAAATCCACCTGCGATTTTACGAAATTGTCTCAAATTTCTATATTTATATAACTATGTCAAATTCCCTTATATAAACTCTGCGTCTAACTTTTCGGCGAGTCGGCGGTCCTTATTTAACTGTATTTGATGCGTCAAAATTGCAAATAAATTTTAGAGCCCTAATATATTTATTATTTTTTGAAGATAAATATAAGAAAAATAAATATATTTGTAATTTCAGTGGTTTAGAAATTACGATTCTAAAATATATTCGTAGTTTTGGTGTATTTATATCAAATACCCTTAAATAAGGACTGCCGAAGGGGTTAGACGCATACTGCAATTTTATGAAACTATATGTAAGTTTTGTGCAATTTAACCTATTTTTACTTATATTTTTTGGTAGAAACTGTCATTTCATATATTCAGGCACCTTATGATACTCCCTCCGTCCCGCAAGAAGGTTGTCATGACTTTTCTGCATGTTGATATTTGAATATTAATTATTATATCAATACGCCGTAGAAATCAAGAGAAAAAAAGCAAAAATACGTTTATTAGTCTCTTATAATACAAATACAATGATATTTTTCAAGTAAATTATTCAAATATAAGGATATTTTTAATGTTAAGTACAATTATACAAAAATCAAATGACAACCTTCTTGCGGGATAGTGGGAGTATTATAATTTGTATAATTATTTCAATATATTATTTAGATAAATGTAATCATATCGTATAAGTAGGATTAATTATCTTTAATTAGTATATTTGTATATCGAAATTTAAACTTTATTTTAATCAATAATAGTAAGCATTTAATTATGATAAATAAAATAATATTATTTACTCTAATCATCTTCAAAATATATATTCATTTTGTTTGTAATAATAGTACTTAGTTTTATTTAGAAAATGTATGGGCTATTCTCTATGAACGAGAGAATTTTCGTTTTAAACTAATGTTATCTTAGAGCATCCGTTATGGAAATACCTAAATTTTGATATTTTCATTACTTCACCCTTTATGTCACTTTTTCTCTATCACATTAATTGAGATATTTTCTTCTATTTATATTTACAACAAAAAGGGGTATTATTTATTAATTAATTAAGTTTAGTTTTAATTTATTTTTAAGTTTATATGAAATTATTTTGTTAATATTGATTTGTTTAATAAAATTAAATAATATGTATTTATATATTTTAAAATTTAAATTAATAAGATATATTCAATATTGATATTATTTTGTAAAATAATTTATTTTTTGTAAATTATAAAAATATTACAAAATTAAATATATAAATTAACAAAACAATTTATATACATATATAATATATGTCATGTGCATATCATGTGTCCTAATTCAAATGAGACATATAACAAAAAATAAATATCGTCCAAATATCTTTGCAAAAATGCTTGAAAAATGATATCTCATATTCTCTTGTTTTTTTAAAAAATGCTAAGATGGGCCGTTGCAAGTGTCCCTAGCAGGCAGGGACGGAACTAGCTTCCGGAATTATGGGGGAGCGGTGTTGTCTAGTAAGTATTGAGTTTTTATAGTTTGATTTTGATTTTAATATATTTGAAATTGTGAATCGTCGATTTTTTTTAAATTCAAATAAACAGTTTAATCTTTTTTTTTAATGGAAATTTTTAAAATTTATAAAAATATGTCGGTCAGGTTGTCTTATATACCACTTCAATTTTATTTTTTTCAATTTCTCTTAATGCGAGAAAATAATGCAAAGAGATACTTGTAATTATATTTTTATATAAATAAACTATAATTAAAATTATTATATTAAGGGGGTAAAATAATATATTTATAGAAATTTTATTTATTTTAAACTAAAAAAAAAATTGGGGGGCTCTGAGGATCAATTGTCCCGGACAAAAAAATACAATATGAACAAACCTGAAATATTATAATATTTGTGACAAAAAAATAAAAATAAAAATGATATAACTTTTACGAATTACTAAATACATAAATTTAATGTACTATATAATTAAATATATTAAATTAAAAATTAAATCTTATGGTATATTATAAAATGCATTATAAATGAGTGTGGGGTCACAGATCTCTGTTAGCAGTCAAATTATTTTTTTAATTTTCGGTATAATTTGAACACGTACGTCCGTGTTGGTCCGTGTTGATATAAATATTGTGATATGTTGTTGAATTAAAACAACGCGCCCGTGTTATAGTTAACATAGCTGTGTTTGTTTAAAGTCACTTGCTACATCAACGTCCGTTATAGCTACGTCAACTCATTCCGTATTTGAGCTCGAACTCGGTTCGTGTTCGTTCGTTAAGAGATACAAGCTGAAATTTTTGTTTGAATTCGGCTCGTTTAGCAATTTTTTTGTTCGTTTTCGGCTTGACTCGGCTTGTTAAGAGAATTTTTTTTTATTTATTTAATTTTTTTTAAAAAAATATTAAATATAATTATAATTTTTATTAATAGATTTAAATAAAAAATAGAATGCAATATAATATTATAAAGATATACATACTTATTAAATATAAAATCATTAATTTTAATTTTTTTAATAAATACCCTCGAACGTTCGCGAACAAGCTTGAGCTCGTTCGTGAATATAAGGAGCCAAAATTTATGTTCGTGTTTGGCTCATTTAGCTTAACGAACGAACTCTTAGCGAGTTCAAATGAGCCGAATCAAGCCGAGCTCGTGAACTGTTCGTTTGTTTTACAGCTCTAGGGAGAGGCATTGGGTTCTGCAAAAAATGGGGGAGGGGCTCCAACCGACCCCCAAATCCCCCCTCCCATTTATAGAGTAACATTGTACCTCTATTCCATTTTTGGATTATGGTATTACGTAGTGTTTCTTATATTTTTATTATTTTTTGGGGTGTATTGTGGAATTTTATTTTTTTAGAAAGTTATATAATTTTATATTTTAAAAAGTTATATATAATTTATTTTTGGAAAGTGATATATAATTTTATTTTTAAAAAAAATAATATATAATTTTATTTTTAAAACTTGATATATAATTTTACTTTGCGAAAAGTGATAGTAGAATTTTATTTTTTTTAAAATGATGTGTAATTTTATTTTTTATAAGTGATAATTCTATTTTTTTTTAAAAAGTGGTATGTAATTTTATCTTTTTAAAATTATTTTATTTGTAATAGTTATTAATTATAAATGCTAATCCTTATATATGTAATTTTTAAATAAAATATAAATTATATGTGTATGGATTATAATGTAAAAATAATTAAAGTTGGGGTGTAATTTATCAATATTAAAAATGATATAAAATAATACTCCCTCCATCCATTTACAAGGGTTACATTTACTTTTGGCGCGGTGTTTAAGAAATAATAGTATTTTAATTATAGTGAGTAGTTAAAAGTAGTGTAATGACATTTTTGCCTTTACTTTTTTGTGTAAAAGTAATGATGTGATGTAAAGTAAGGGTATTTGTGGAAAAAAATAGGGTATTTAATGAAATGTAAACTTTGTAATTGGACGTCCCAAAATAGAAACATGTAAACTTTGTAAGCAGACGAAAGGAATATAAAAGAAAAATATATAGGAAATATATCTTTAGAATAAAAATTAAAATTTATGGTTGAAGTAAAAATATTGTAGATCAACTATATACAATAGCAACTGAAAAAATGGAGTGTCGAGTTGAAGATATGAAACCTTGTTTTGCACCCAAACTTTGTTGCCCTCGGGTCTCCATCTCTTTTTAAGCTATATCAAGATATATACATGTATATATATATACATAATATACGCTTCATACACAATTTTATACAAATACATCTATATATTTATATATTGAGTTATATTTGAGTTATATTTAATACTACTTCTGTCTCACTTAATATGTTTTATATTTTTATTTTCGTTCATATGTAATTTGCTTTTCTTTTTTTAAAATTATAATTATATACTTTAATCACATTTTAAAATTTATAATTTATAATTTTTTATTTTAATTAAACTATTTAGTCATTTTAATTTTAATTTATAATTATTTTTATTAAATTATAATTATTTTTACTAATATACTTTTTAATTACTTACTAATTACATAATACCTAAAACTCTGTGCTTAAGCTAAATATAACAATTTAGCTGGGAGGGAGAGAATATATAGCCATATAATAATTGTCATTCAATAATATCATTATAGAAATAAATGGCCATAAGTTCATAATTTAAGATTTTTTTTTTTTTTTGAATGGATTTGAGAAAAAATTAGTTTGAATTTGATATTAAAATAATATTTGATATAATAATTTATGAGAAAAAAATATTTTTTTCTAAAAAATAGTAAAATTCAAATAATAAAACTTTAACAAAAGAAATGTATCCTAAAACATGCATGGTCATAATTATAATAATAATAATAATAATAATAATAATAAAAACCATAAACAATATAAGAGCATCCCTTACCGTCATCTTTTTCGGTTTTTATTATAACAAAAATCATTATCTTTAATAAGAAATACAGTTATCAAAATTTATTACCTTGACGAAGAACTCATCTTCAACAAAAATAAATAAAAATAAATTAAAAATTATATCCAACATTTTAAAATTTAAATTTAACATAATTATCTATAAATATATTT